CAAGATTAATAGAGGACCCAATTGATGCCAAAATTAAAAGAGAACCCATTATAAATAATCGATTTAGAGAAAAAATACCCTTAATGTCGGCTTGTTTTTGTGATTGTCAAGAAGGAAATGAAGGATGTATTTGTATTAACAGAACATATCCATGTTCTTGCTATCCAATTCCTAATGATCCTTTTAATGAAATAGAGTGGAAGAAATTTGAAATAAGAAATAATAGTTTAAAATATAATCCATTTAGAGAAAGCATAAAAGAATTTAACAATCAAACGAATAAAAAGAGTTTAATTAAAAAATGTTCAAAAGACATTTTAAAAATTATTTTAAATAAATTGACAAGCAAAACAATAATATTGATTCTTCTATTAATTTATCTCTCAAAAATAACGGTTGTTGCGAATCCCTGTACGAAAAATGAAAAATTAAAATTCGTAGAGATGCATGAATGTGTTCATGACGGTTTAGTGATTAAAAGGGATAATCAAGGATTATTATGCTGGGAATATATTGATTGCAAAGAAAAACATTTGAGAATACAAAAAGAAATGTATAATAATTATTGCGGGGAAAAATGCTCATGTCCTTCATGGACAAATCAATGTAGCTTTTACTATGGGCCATCCGTAAAAAATTCAACTTTAAAAAATAAAAGCGTATACGAAATATTAAATTCCCAAGAAGTAAAAGCGAAATTGTGTAAAATAGAATCTGGAGATAATTGTGCAAAATTACGAACAATAAAAGAATTTAATCAAATTGAACTTTATGATGGTAATAAAATACTAGTAAATGATTTAAATATAATAATAGAAGACTTAATGGAAAATGAGTACGTGTGTGTAGGGCAAGGACCCGTAACTGGCTCAGCAAAATTTTGTGAAAATCATCATTGTAATGAGAGAGGTACACAACTTTGCTATTATGTTCGAAGTGAAATTGCATTTTTAGAAACAAGTAAAGAGAAAATACCAATTAAAGCCTGGGGAAGAGTAAAAATTAAAACAAATGAATTTTTAGATAAAAAAGAAAATTTAATTTGTAAAAAATGTGAATTGAAGTGTACAAAAGATGGTATCGAAATAAAAAATGAGGGAAAATTAAATGGTATTGAGATATGTGTAAATAAAAAATGTGTATATAAATCCTTTCCAGACGAAACAGAAAAAATGATTTTTTCGAAAAATATTTTAGTAAATGATTATAATGTTATGACTAGCTTTTTTAGAAATGGAGAGAAGCTAAAAGAAATAGAAATAGTGTGTGAAAGACAGAATGTTTGCGTATTAATTGAATGCACACTATGTTGGGAATACTTAAAGAATCCTCATTGTTATCCTGAAATAGCAATGATAACCTTTGGAATAACTTTGTACTTATTAACAAGTACAATTTTGATGATATTTAAAATTATTAAATTTGTTTTAAAATTTCTAAAAATATTGTTTATATTTAAAATTAAATGTATTAAATGGATTGGGAAAGTAATAATAAAAGATAGATCAAATAAAAACAGAAAAGATAAAAATAAAACAAAAGAATTCAATCCCAAAAATTTAGAAAATTCCCAGTTACTTCCGATGAAAATCATGATAACTATTATAATTTTTTATTTAATAAAAGATGTTAAAAGTTTAACTTCAATTAATGCAAGAGAGGAAAGTTGCACGGTAAATAAATTAGGAGAAAGAAATTGTCTTTTTGAAGAGATTATTGAAATTAACTTAAATCCACATAATCAAATAGTAAAAATATTATTAAATGACCATACAGGAAAATTAGCCGGGACAATTGAAATTGAAGTACATTATGTGGAGATGATCTGTACTAAAGCAATTAAATTCTTTTCTAGAACCTACCAAATAAAAACAATGTCAGTCAAACGTTGTTATACGGAGGGGAGCTGCGTGGATAATAAATGCAGTGAATTAAAAACAAATGAAAAAATAGATGAATTAAAAGATATAAATAAATTTCCCGGAATAACCCAATGCGTTGAATCTGATGGGGGCTGGTTTCAAGGATGTTTTTACACGGTCCCCGCATGCACATATTATAGATATTATGCTATACCATCAGAAAAAGAAATATTGGATATATTTACTTGTGATAAGTGGGAACCAATAATTAAAATAAATAATAAATTAATTGATAGTCATGGAAATATAACGAATAGTATGTTTAATTTAATACCAGGAAGAAAAGTCACAAATAATAAAATAGAAATAACATTAAAAGATATTACAATGGGATTAATTCCCATGCTTGCAAGCACTTTTGTTTCAAATTCAAAGAAAATTGCGAAAATAGATACTGAAACAGAGAATAATTTAAGAATGTTTAAATGTAAATCAAGAACAGAAGCAAAAACATTTTTAAATTGTAAAATAGATCCAAATATTTGTCACTGCCGCCCTGCGGATAATAAAGTTAATTGTGATTGTAAAGAATTAAACAATCAGAGTATGATTTTTAAACCAGAAAATAGTTTACCATTTTCACATAATGGTATAATGATTAAAAATAAATTTGGAAACATAATAGCAGCAACAGAAATTTCCTCCGCTACTTTACAATTTAAATTGCAAGGAATGAAACTTAAAACTGAAATTGAGCTAAATAAATGTTTAATAACAAATGTGAGTCTATATGGATGTTATGAATGTGATGAGGGTGCTAAAGTATATCTGACTTGTAATACAGACTTTGGAAAATCATTGGCAAATATTGTTTGCCCGAGTATAAACATGTTTACAACATGTGGGCCTAAAGGAATTGATAAAGTTATATCGATAAATTTAAATAAGGCGCATATTGAAGAAGAATGCGAAGTTTTTTGTGGATTACACCCTACTACTTTTAAATTAAAAGGAACGCTCGCAGCAACAGAAAATAAATATATCGATTTTTGGAATAAAGTAGAAAATAAAGAAAAGAGAATTGAAACAAAAGCTTTTATACATTGGCTACAACAGTTTGACTACACCAATCTTTTCTTTTACTTGATCAATCCGCGCTACCTTTTTATTTTTCTCTGCACTCTTCTTATATTACTGATTCTGTTTTATTGCTGTATGCCTCTTCTCTTTCGTTTAATGCTTAAAAGAGGAATGCAAATTTTTTGCGCTCGGAGTGTTGGAGATGACGGAAATCATATGAAGGTAATTTAAAGATTATTAATTTGAAATTTATTTTTGTAAAATATTTTTATTCATTTTTTTCCATTCTTTTAATATTTTCTAAATTCTTGAATTGTCATATTTTGCCCTTATTATTATTCAACAATTTTCTCAAAATATTTTTATTCTCTTTTGTTTCATAATTTTAAATCTGATGCAATTGTTCTACCCTTATTTAAACTTTTTCAATCCTCCCAAAAGACATTCACTTTTTACTATCTTTCCCCCCAAAAGCAAATCACCCAAATAAATTGTATAATTTTAAAGAATAAATATTTGTAAGTTTAGTTAAAATTATTGTAAATTGTCGTGATACGACAAGCTCTTAAAATGTTCCTCAGATCGTAGAAAGTAAGAAAAACCGCTAGAAAAGCTGATTTTCTATATCCGAAAATTTATGTACTCTGAATCGTCCCCTTTTCCCCGTACTCTGAATCGGCTACTCTGAATTGTCCCTACTCTGAATAGTCCCTACTCTGAATCGGCTACTCTGAATCGGCGACTCTGAATTGGCGACTCTGAATCGGCGACTCTGAATCGACCTTTTCCCATTTCTATTGATATCATAGAGCACCAGCGGAATTATTTGGGCTCCAGCGGAAAATACAAATGACTGTATAGTACGAGACTATATTACTTTATATCTAAAATTTTTTTGACATTCTAGGGGTAAAAACGAAATAAAATTTAGTGGGTGTATAGTTATGTATCTCTACTTTTAGTCGTTCCCAGCTGGAATTCAGGTATTAGATTTTTTATTTTCAGCGAAAACAAATACAAAATTATTCATTTCCCATTGTGGAATGAACAGTTTAACTGAGGTATTTAAATATTTTTCTGATTTTAAAAATATTTAATTTAAAGGCAATGTATGCAGGTGTTCCTTTAATTTGTATTCCTTATGGAGTTGATCAATTCTACAATTCCTCTCTTGTTGAACATTTGGGTATTGGTAAATATGTAGGGCTTTTCAAATTTGTGAAATGGGATAAAATTAAACGTAAAGGATTTATTGTTGATTTTAAAAATGCTTTCCTTGAAATGATGGAGGAAAAGTAAGTAAATTCTAGAAAAAATATATAAATTTCTAAATATTTAAGAGGGTTTATATTAGATGCCGGACCGATACGAGATCGAGATCGGGAATTTTTCGAGATCCCGCTTCTCGTACACATTCCAAGTCTGGTCTCTGGTTTAAGGTATGAAATATTTTTGGGACATTTATTCGGAAAATTAAAAAAACATTTAATTAAAACATTTACAAAATTTCAACTGCTATCCTCGGAAGGGTCATTTTATTAGATATCAGTAAATGTCTAAATTTAAGCTTTTTTATTTATAAAGAAGTTTAATTGCTGTAAAAATCATGTTTTATCTTCCTATTATTTTAGCTGCTTGTTTTTTCCCAGTTTAATAAAATTGAAGAAGAAATTAATTATTTAAAAATCAAAAAAATATTTATTTATTTTTAGTAATGTTTATCAAAAGGCTGTAAATGAACTTAGAGAGAATATTCACAAAGATTATAAGGGCGAAGATAAATATCCGATTAAACAACATTTCCTTGAAATAATTTCTAAATTAATTGATGAAGACGAGTAACGGAAATTTTGAAGAAATTTAAATTTTTTTAAAGAATTTATTTAAAAATTTATTTTTTAAAAGGGTTGCGTTTTAGCAACATTATTTTATTTTTAAGAATTTATTATTTTACGTTATTTAAAAAAGAGAATTCGTTCATTAACAAAATTCAAAACTTCAAAATTTTAATTTTTAACAAATATTTAAAGATTTTGATTTGTATAAAAATTTGGGTATTTATTTTATTTATAAAACATTTTGTTTGTTTGATAAGTCATCAAAATTTCAAGTCTTATCATAATTTATTAAAGTATCGGAAAGACTATTTAATAGGATTATCCAAATTCCTCGACCCGATCCCTGACAGTCCATTCCACGACATCCACATACCCCGAAAATCCCTTCCCGAGGAGTCAGGGGCCAATCATAGCTTCAATTTCCCGTTTATGTACAGTTATAGGAAGTAAAATTCTATGGTTGTTTCAGCTACCAGGAAACCCCGAATTTATAAGCCCATGAAGGTAAAGAAGAATTTTTATTACAAACAATTATTAAATTTTAAATTATCAAAAACATATTTACTAATTATTTATTTCGTTTATATTTATTAAATTTTCTAATTGAAGATTAGAGGAAGATGGACGTCTTTCTAAAGTTAAAAGTCTCTGGTTTTGTTGTAAAGGAATGTTTATGTTTGTTTGTTGTATCCAAATAATTCTGGCTCTGTTTGGAGCTGGGGCTATTGAATCGGATAATTTAGGGGATCTTGTAGTTGAAAAAAGCCTTTAAAATTTAATAAATTAATTTAAAATAAATTTAATTATTTAATTACATTGCTTGATAAAGTGTAAAAGTAATACAAGCACTTAAATACCTTTAAAGAAAAAATTGATAAATTAAATAATAAAGATTTTGAAGTAAATTTTTAAAAATTACACTAAATATAGTAAAAAGTAGCCGACCCCATCTCGAAAAATATCAAAAGATAGGATGGTACTTGAGAAAAGCGTTCAAGGTTGTTAACCGTTCAAGCATCCAACACTGACCGATCGTTTACATTTTTATTTTATCTACTAGGCTGGGAAGAAACTTTAATGACCTTACAATATTTAACCAAGTAATGAGAACGGAACCAAGCATCCACTGACCGATCGTTTATATTTTTATTTTATCTACTAAGCTGGGAATATAATATAATATTTAGTCAAGTAATGAGAACGATCTTAAACCTTTAGGATAGTTCAATTTTCAATATTAATTATATGTAAAAAGCCCAAGTCAATGATTATGGCTGCCATATTCAATTTGTGGCGATTTTAGAAAGATTTTAGAGCTGAATTTTTCAAGGTTAGTTTTTTGTTCGATCATAAAGTCTCGGAAATTTGGGAATCAAAAATCTGATTGCATGTCAATTCAAATCGTAAGTAATCAAAAACCAGATTAACAAAATGGAATAACCAACCAAAACCAAACAAATAATTCAGTTGTTGGATGACCTTCAGTTAAAAGTTGTAAAAGTTGAAACATTATAGAACAAATTAATAATAAATGGATAATAATAAGTGGAAGTAAAACAGTTGATTTAAATAATTGAATTAGTAATAAAATCATTGCAATAATTTGTAAAAGAATAAAATAAATTGAAAGAGAAATTGATAGAAAAGTGGGGAATTGAGGGAATAATAAATTATTATTATTAGAGGAATAGGGCTGTGATGAGAAAATTGAAGAAATTATTGGCCAAAGAAATTTTGTTTCCAAATAGGTATTTATTAATAAATGAATGGCCTGAATAGAAAATTATAGTTAGTATTTTATGAAGGAATTTGTTTAAAAATTTTAAAGTATTTAGTTATTGCCAGGGATGGGTATCTTCCGCCTCCGCTTCTGCAAATTCCGCCTTTGTTGATCCTCCGCTCCCGCGTTTCATCTACCGCCTTTTAAATGTGGCGAAGACCCATCACTGGTATTGGCCAAAGGGCTAGCCGATCCGATTCAAAAAATCGGATCTCCATGACATTTTTAGGTCGGGAAACCCGATTCCCAAAAATCGGGAATTTATTTCTGTGTTAGTTAAGTTTTCGGTAATGACCGAAAATAATAGAATGTCCATCTTGCTTTAAAGAGTTTGGAGAGCTCTTTCTATTTCACTAAGAATCAAAAATATTTTATATGATAAAAATGATTTCCAATTTGTTTTTCCAATTTTCCAATTCCTAATTTAAAAAAATAGAGACTGGCAGGCTGTCAGCTACATAGCTGAATGAACGAAAAAATGATTTCATTTCTCTTTTCTTTAACAACCAGGAAAAAATTTTTTATGTTCCACGTTTATTTTCTTTTAAAGTTGATGGCTATTTTTTATATAATTGAGAAAATTCATATTAGTAACTCAAAATTTCCATTCAATATAGACACTTACATATTTTTGGAATGCTTCGATTTAATTAGACCGAATTAAAAATTTCAAGACTTTTTTAAAACAATTTTTTTTTAATAATTTACCTGAAGCGAAAGAATTGCTTTTCCCCACAAATCAGGCCTTCCTAAGCCGTTTGCTTCAATAAAGCTAGAAAGCATAAGTAATGCTCTGTTACTCATTCTTATAATTTTCAAAATTTTCTAAACTTTTAAATAGAATAAAAATCAAAATTTAGAGAGGAATATATTTTCTTTTTGAGGCAAACATTTAAAAATAAACAAACAAAATATTAGTCTAGTAGTGAAGACAGGAAAGGTAAAAATTGAAAAAAAAATTTTTATTTGTTAAATATATTTATTTATTTTTGTCTGGCTGACAGGACTGTCGCGACATGGACGTGTTGTCTGTTGTAGAGCTGCAAATTCGTAATGATTGATTGAAATAAAGAAATAAAAAAAAATAAAATTTTATTATGGGAAAGAAAAGTGTAAAAGGAGTGTTTCATCTTACAAATTAGAATTTTGGAAAAAAATAAAAATAGGCAGGTAATTTGTTTAAATTTTTATTTTATTTTGTATTGTTTTTAGAAGAAATGAAACTTTAAATCTTTTATGGTAGCAATTAAAATTAAAATTTGGATGTAGACATTAATTTCGAAATTCAAGTTTTTTTATATTTTATTTTGAACAAACTACTGTCACGTTTGTTTGTACAAAGTCTAAAAAAATAAAAAAGCAAAACACAATGAATGATGTGTAGCAGGGATGGATAATTTTGAATTTTAAAAATCGGAACCCGGAAGCGGAAGATAATAAAAAAGCTCAGGATGAACGGCGGAAGAGAAAGAAAATCCATCCCTGATGTTCATATAGAGTAAGATGGAAGATAATACATAGAAAAATGATTTAACATAAAGAGAGAAATAATTTTCTTACATTATTTGATCAACTTTTAACTAAACAGAAGAATCAAGAATTTTGACAACGAGAAAATTGCTTTTAGATAAATATGTATATTTTAGACTTTTTTATATTTTTTCTATCCTTTTTTTAGTGGAAACAATAGAGTTGGCGGATCCGAATCTCCGTATCCAAAAGAAGTTCAGATATCTGGAAATCTTTGTTTCAGATATATATACATATATCAGGGGATTTCCCAGGATTTGCCAACCCTATAATCACTCCCAAAATTTATCTAAACAATTTTAAATGTTTCTATGTTAATCTTTTCAATGTTCATTTAATCATTTACTAACAATATTTATTCTTCTTCTAATCCCTTTGATCTCTCAAATCATTTGGTGATCAGCCAACTTCCAAATCCACACTTTCTTCTATCCAAAATATTTATTTATTTAAGAAAAACAGGAAATAATAAAAATATCCCTTTCTTCTTCCCTCGGTTTTCTAATAAATTTATGGGTCATTCTTGCATAAAAATAAATAAAAATCTCCTTTCTTGCGCAGCAGCCTTAGGGTTTTGAAAGTCGTCGCCATTCCTTAGCTTCTTTTTCGGTGAGAAGCTGACTTCTTTGATCGATTTATTCTTTAATGCTTTTTAAAGTTATGGCTGGTCAGTTGTAAATATTTTTTTAATTTTATTATTTGTGCCTTAATTTGATTTTATATTTATAATTTAAAGATTTGCGCCTCTCCTTATATTCATAATAATTTTTTTTATTATCCCCTGAATTTTTTTAAAGCCAAAATAAAATCTAGAATTTAATAATTATTATGTTATCCAATAATATTGTTGAAAATGAAAATAAAATTGAAGAAAAACAGGATGAATCTCAATTACCAACATCCTCCTCAGCTAGTTCCAATGAATGTAAGTAGACAATAAGTTAAATTTAATCTTTCGTCCGCTGTTGAAATCTCGAAAAAATTGTTGTAGCGACTAGAAGGGTCAAGACAGGACCCAGAACCGAAACATTACAAGAAAGTGAGCTGCAAGTTTCGGTGAACTCTAATAGTGACACCCTAAAGAACCCAAATTCTTATTTTGACAGGCAGATAGATATGTACTTATCTGCTCTGTCAGTCCCTTTTCCTACACTCATAAGAGTTGGTTTCATACAAAATTTCCTTCAAAATTATTTATTTAAAAATTAGCTGAACCAAATAAATCACCAATTTCTTCATCACCTTTACCACCTTCTACACCTCCCCCATCTTTTTATCAATATGATCCGGATGATGAATTTTATATGGCCCCACCAACTTGTCAATTCCTTCATTATCGTGATGCTGCTGTAATTGTTGGAATATTTGAAGTTTTGATGATTACTGGGACTTTGTTTGGATCTTTAAGTAAATTAATAAAATGATAAAAATATTAAAAATATTTAAATTGTTTTAAAAATAATTCTTATTGGGAAATTTAAAATACAGATAGACAATAATACTAAAATACAGGGTGCGGAAAAAGTTCCCGTACTTTTATTAAGCAAAAAATTTATTTCAAATATCAGCTTAAATTTTATAAAATCTATGAAAAATTGTTCATTAATATTTAAAGAAAAGTTTTGCGCACCCTGTAAATTCAAAATTTGGACCTAATAAACTGAATAAATTAATTATAAATAGATAAAAAATTGGAAGCAAGCCAGCTTACCGCGGGCCCAACTTACCGCAGAGCTATAAATTCGTTCAAAATCGTCGAATCCGGAACGGCTTGGTATGGTTCGATGCGTCTCGACGATCTGAATCGAACCATACCAGAGCGTACCGGATTCGACGATTCTGAACGAAGTTATGGCTCTGCATTATGTTTGGGTGTACCCAAAAAATTATATTTGAGATGAAAAAAATTTAACAAAAAATCTTTATTAAAAAATATTTGTAAAAATATTAAATTTTTTATAACTAGTCAAAGTTAAATATGTATATAATTATTTTAAATTTTAAAAAATTTAAAATTAAAAAATTTTTTAAACTAAATTATAATAATTTTTAACAGATTTTTACATTGGCATTAGATTATTTGGTATTTGGGCCCCTTTATTATTATCAGCAATTCTTTGTATAGCTATTGGAACTACTGTTATTATGGTTTAAATAAATATTTTTTGTTTAAAAAATTAATTTTTCTTTAAAAGATTTATGGAATTAAGACTGAACAACCACAACTTCTTTGGCCACAAATTTATTTTTTAAAATTGGAAATTAGTTTACTTTTGGTATGTTTGTATTAAAACATCCGAATATGGGATTTAAAAATGGTTTAACAAATAATTACCTATATTAATTACCTATATCTTCGTTAGTTCAAAAAAGCCGGGAAATTTCGCCGACCGGGAACCGAAACCGAGTCTCTAACATCACTAATATTATTTTTATACTTTTTACTTTTATACATATTCCATTCTCTTCTGAATTTTAGGTTAGATTTAAATATTTGTTAAACTTTAAAACGAATATCGATTCAAATAATTTTCGAATACTTGATATTCTACATAGCTTCAATCGAATTCTTTGTAAAATTAGATCATTTTTGACCTCTAACTCGATTTTGGCATTTTTCTTATTAGTTTACTTTTGGTAAGTTTCAATTAAAACATTCAATTAAAACATCCAGTTTCAATTAAAAAACCTTTAAAATCGTTTCATAACCAATGTTCTGACTCATCCTTCTTTTATTTACCCGGAACTAAAAGAATTTACTGATAAATTTTCTCTAGATGAAAATTTTTATAAAAAAAACAAATTTTCAAAAAAAAATATTTAATTCTTTTTTTTCTTTTTTTTTCAAAAAAAAATTAAAAATATTTATATTAACATCATTATTTCCATAAATAAATTTTCGAAAAAATTATTCAAAAAAATTTCCTACCAACTAAATAATAAATTTATTTAGATTTTTTATGTCTTTTCTACGAAAATAATTATTAAAATAAAATTAATTTTTTTATTAAGTATATCTAGTTTATTTTTAAATCTATTCATAGAACCAATAAATAAATTATTTAATTAATTTATTTATAATATTTTTGGAGATTTTACTTTTTCAATTTCCTTCTACAACTATTTTCTGCAAAAAAATAATCAAAATATTAACTAATTTCCGTTTAAAATAATTTTTTTATATTCTATAGTTGATGATTAAATAATATGTATGTCTGATTTAACAGCTAAAAAATTCCTATTTTTAGTTTTTTTCTGTTTTTAGTTAAAGGCGAAACGGCACGCAAAATAAATTTCTGATTCAGGGATGGATTCCCGACCCAAAAACAATAAGGATTTTCGGGAATCTTGAATAGGGATGGCACGACCCCTTATATACTTATACTAGAGTGTGCCAAAACCAAATTAAATAAACTGAAGTTGAAATGCAAATTAAATTTAGTAAAGCGAAATTTTTTTTAATAGCAAAAAGAAAATTTAAAGATAAAAAACTAATTTTTGTATTTATAAAGGCCGGTGCAGTATTTTCTATATCTTCAATGTGTCTCGGTATGGAATCTACGCATTGGATATTTAGCCATTTTGTTAGAGTAGATAAAATGGAACAAGTTGCTGGACCTATCTGGCCTTTTAATATTGCAATACTCTCATTTTCTGGTGCGGCTTTAGGTAGGGGAAGGATTATTTTTAGAGAAATATTTTGGAAATGTATCCATTGTTAACGATAAGATAAGAAATTGTGGTTAGGATTGCCTGAAATTGAATTGGGATTTTCCCAATAATTTAGGTGTTTCCCAAATCATGAAATTGGGGAACACCCAAATTAGATTTGGCCAAAGGGCTCGGTTATTTTTTTCGAACAAGAATTGAAAAAAGATATTTAAATCGGAAAAATTGACAAATTTAAAATTTAGACTAAAAATCGAAATTAATCTAAAAATCCATGTTAATTCACTTCCCATTTATTTTTACAGACATTTTCAGTAAAAATTTTTTCCCAAATTCAATTTTTCTTTAGGAATTTGGTTTGATGTAATAGTGCGTGGTTGTTATGATTATTTACTTGATAAAGAATATTTTTCTCAAACTTCAAATCAACCTCCTATAGATATTTGTAATTTTAGCAGAGAAAAACCTAAGACAATAATTATTGGGAATGAAGATAATCGGTGATTAATTAAAAGATTTTTTTGAATTAAATATTGTTTTGTTAAATATATTTTTTAAAAACAATTATTTATTGTATACAAATATTTTTTGTTTTTTTTGACCAT